ATTTTTACTTTCTTGATACGAGCCAGCAGGTAATGCTTCCAAACTTATGTGAGTGATCTACTTTAACATGCTAAATTCTCTGGGCCTTTTGTTCCCCTCTTCCACAATCTGACAAAGCAGTTCCTGCATTTCTACTTTACTTAATGTGTGCTTTTATTCCCCAACTTTTCAAAGCCAACCATCGGTGGATCAGGAACAATCAGTCTCCAGTGCACTTATCTTGGGAAAGGGCCACATAAAAAAATTCTCTTTTATTTGGTTTCATATTTCATCTTTATCAGTCCGGCACCCTCAGGATTTACTTTCAGGTATGTTCTCCCAGTTGTAGCCAGAATATGTTAGCTAGGCTCTTCAGCTCCTTCAGTGTCAAATCCCTCTCCTCTCTTACAAAGAGCAGCACTTCCCCAGTTGGTCTACGATGAGCTTTGACCAAATTCATTGCTCTGGTTGCCAGCAGAGAAAGTTCAGGCAGATCCTGGGAAAGACCAGCATTATCCTTAAGACATTTTTGTGGTCTTCCTATGCTGTTCTAGCAAAAAGACTGCTATCTGCTTGCATAGTCATTGGGACAAAAGAAGCATTTCAGGGCTTAAGGAGTTGAGTATATCAATCCAGATATCTCCATTATTCTAAGTCTCAGAATCACACCCCTTCCTTATGAGGGCCCTGACTTTGGCTCAGGAGACTTGTCTGGGCTAAGATTTCATTCTCTCTAAAGTTCTCCAACCCTTACAATTAAATGTCATGCCTTGCTATCAACTGCAAGAAATAAATGCTGCCAAGAAAGCCCTCTGACTCATATTTTGCTCTAAATTGGATTAATAAATATGAGCCTACCATTTTCCATCTTTGGTGCTTCAATTGTGCTTAGCAACAGCCATCCGATGCCATAGTCCTTATCACCACTATCATCTCTGCATTTCTCTGGAGTCAGAGATACTCAGGAGCAAATGAATCTTCTACCTCTTCTAAGTCCAAGCTCACCACAATTGAAAGTTTTAACCATCACACTGCTACCACATATCAGCAACTGTCAGTACTCCACCTACCACCACAGGGTACTCATTGACATGTAGCCAGTTGAACAATCCAATTAAATATTCCTTATTATAGTCTGCTTTTTTGTGTGTGGCCACTCCTGATACCAATGGTCTTTGGCCAGGTTCCACAGAAGCAGAACCTGAGAAGAGGATTCTGGTGCAAATAACACAGTGAGAAAGTGCTCTCAGGAGAAAACTATATGGAATGAGGCAGAGAGGATACAATGGGGTGACGCTTGAAGAAGATGTGCTTCAGGTGAAGTCAGGTCTTGTCCAAAAGATAACTCTGAAACAACTGACACTATACCTACCCCCAACTTGTGCAAGTTAACCTCCCTTCTAGTCGCACATATCATCAACCATCTGCTATAGGGCATCCTTGGGGAGAGGGCAAACCTCCCAGTCATTTCAGGTGAGAAGCTTCTCTTGGCTGAGAGCAATGCTCAGAAGAGTGCGGCCATGAGTTGTTAGCAGGAAAGAAGCAGAGTTTTGTAAGGGCTTTGATGTTAGTAGCTGACTGCTTAGCCATAATTCAATAGGGATTTAATAACATAGAGAACAGCTAGAGTATATTTTTATGTAACATTGTAAGAAATAAGAACAAATTTATTATGTGTTAAAGTTATAGCAGTGGCTGCCAGATAAAGCGGAGGATGGCTACGCACAGAAGGAAAGGGGACAGCTAGTCTCAACCATACTTGCTTGTGTCTTCCAAGCCTCCTTCCAAGGGGACCACAGCCCCTGTGTAGCCGTGTCCTCCACGACACAACCACATGGCCTTTCGTACTACAGCAGGCACCTGACACAAGTGCAGACAAATGTGTAGACTAGCAATGGATTTGTGAAAGTAATAACAAATAATGAGCTGAGACAATCAGATCATTTCCCCTAGGAATTTCAACTGGCAAATCAGAAAATAAACCCATTATGAGCAGGGCCAAAGTTCTAAACATGTCATGAAATCAAGGTGGGTAGAAAGCAAGCCAAAATCAAAAGTGTCACGAAGACACAAGAGGATAGGACATTTGTGAAATAAAGAATTGTATTAGAAAAAAAATCAGATGCAAATTTTAAAAAGAAAACAGTTGACTCTGGCTCAAAGAAATATATGTGTGAAGTCTGAGTGATGGAATCATTGAAATCAAGGCTGAGTAATTTTTTTTTAATGTCTAACTTCTCATTCATTTTTAACTTTTTAAATTTTAGAACATTTTTAGATTCACAGTTGTGAAGATAGCACAGAGTTCTCACATACCCACACCAAATCCTCTAGCCCCCACCATTGTTAACATCTTACATGACTATAATACTTTTGTCATGATTAATGAAACAATATTGACATAATATTATTAATGTCAATATTATTATTATTGACACATTATTATTCATACTTTTAAACTTATACCCAATGTCTTTTTTCTATTGAAGGATATGACATTACATTTAATTGTCATGTCTTAGGCACCTCTAGCTTACTATGGTTTCTGAAAAATTCCTTGTTTTTTATGACTTTGACAGTTTTGAAGGGTACTGATCAGAGATTTTGTATTTGTCTGATACTTTTCTAATAATTATACTGAAGTATGCATTCTTGGGAGGAAGACTAAATCATAGTAGGGTATTATTTTTATAGTTTACCATGTAACTTATCACTTAGCTCTGATTACCCTGGGAGTCTATTAGGAAGGGAGTCACCGCACAGCCCACACTTAAGGGGTTATACCTCATTGGGGGTAGAGTCTCTACATAAATTATTTTGAATTAGTCTGCATAAAATATTTGTCTATTCTCTTCCATTTTGTCAATCATTTATTTTTGCATTCATCTTGTTCGTGATAATTTATTGTAACCTTCAGCCTTATTTATTTTGTTGTTCAAATGGATCCAGTTTGCGCCACTGGGAAATCTCTGTTTCTTCCTGTTTTTTCCTTATATACCCCATCAGATTTACAGACTCATCTTCTTATCATTTAATTTCCTGCCCCAGTCCTACAATCAGCCATTTCTCCAAAGACTTCTGGTTTCATTTTTTTCAAGAATGGTATTAGAAACCACAGTCTGGGTGCTAGGGGTACTCATTACTATTGTTGTCATTGTATACAAACTCTCATTTGACAGAGCAAGGAAACATACATATGTATAATTACTCATAAATATACATATTTATAAATATTTCTATTTCATTTATATACATATGTATAATCTGTATTTATATTTAACTAAATATGAATTTATATGGATGTTTAATTCATTACCTCATTGATCATTCTAGCATCTTTCTCTTGCTTATCTGTAACTTCTAACTCTATCAGTGAGAAACTGGCTTCCACCAACCCCCATTCATTTGCTTAGGACAGGCGTCCCCAAACTACGGCCCCCTGAGGCCATTTATCTGGCCCCCCGCCACACTTCAGGAAGGGGCACCTCTTTCATTGGTGATCAGTGAGAGGAGCACAGTATGTGGCGGCCCTCCAACGGTCTGAGGGACAGTGAACTGGCCCCCTGTGTAAAAAGTTTGGGGACGCCTGGCTTAGGACTTCAATTACAGTATACCTGTATAGCAATATCAGAATTATTAACCTATAACCTTGGGAAAAAACAACTTTATCAACTAGAGGGAAGAGCTTGTGTACATTTTCTTTTGCCTTTAAGTTTACAGGCTCCACCTATTTACGAAATTACTCAGATCAGAAACTTTTCCCTCAATCCAACTCGGTGGGATTGTTTCACACATTTGTAACAGTTAGATTGTTTTTGCCACATTCTGCATTGCTTCCTGGAATCCCCTGACTTCCTAAATGATTTTTTTTTTAATTCTCATACATTGTTTCATTGTTTGTGCAATAAAGTTCCATGGGGTTTGAAAAATGCATGGTGTCATGTATTTACTGGTATAGTATCATACAGAACAGATTCATCGCCCTAAGAAATATTTTATACTTTACCTATTCAATCCCTTTTTCCTCTTAATCCACTGGCAGTCATTGATATTTTCACCAATCCTATTCTTTGGTCTTTTCCTAAATGTTACAAAATTGGAATCACAGTGCACATGTTCTCAGACTTACACTGATTTGACTTACAATCTTTAAGATGTGTGAAAGCAATAAGCATTCAGTAGAAGCCATACTTTTAGTACCCATACAACCATTCTGTTTTTGACTTTCAGTACAGTAGTCAATAAATTACATGAGATGTTCAACAATTTATTATACAATTGGCTTTGTGTTAGATGATCTTGCCCAACTATAAGCTAATATAAATATTCTGAGCACATTTAAGGTAGGCTAGACTAAGCTATGATGTTTGGTAGGTTAAGTGTTTTAAATGCATTTTCAGTTCACAATGTTTTCAACTTACAATGATTATAATAGGATAAAACCCCATCATAAGTTGAGGAGCACCTGTAGGTAGCCTTTTCAGACTGGCATCATTAACTTAACAATATTCATTTAAAATGTATCCATGTTCTTTCATAGTTTGATAGATCATTTCTTTTCATCATTGAGCAGTATCCCACTGTTTGGATGTGCCATAGACTATATCCACTCACTTATTGACATCTTTACTGCTTCTAGTCTCGGGCAATTATGAATAAATATGATTTTAACATTTGTGTGCAGGTGTCTGTGTGGGCATAATGGTTCAGATTGGTTGAATAAATATCTAAAGGCATGATTACTGAATGACATAGCTAGAGTATAATCAACTTTCTAAGAAACAAGCAATGGTCTTCCAAAACGGCATTAAGATTTTGCATTCCTGCCAGCAATAAGTGGGATTTCCTATGGCTGTATATCCTTGACAAAAATGACTATTGTCAGGGTTTATTTTTGGGTTTTGACCTTTTAAAAGGTATAGTTGCATAATTCTGTTGTTTTAATTTTCCATTCCCTAGTGAGATATAATGTTAAGCATATTTTCATATGCTTATTTACTGTGTATCTTTTTCTCTCTGTATTTTTCTGTTCAGATTTTTTGGCCAACTTTTTCTGGCTTTCTTTTATTTATTTATTTTTAATTTTACTTTAAGTTCTGGGATACATATACAGAATGTGCAGATTTGTTACATTGGTATATATGTGCCATGGTGGTTTGCTGCACTTATCAATCCGTCATCTAGGTTTTAAGCTCACATGCACTAAGTATTCATCCTAATGTTCTCCCTCCCGTTGCCCCCCAATCCCCCATCAGGCCCTGATGTGTGATGATCCCCTTCCTGTGTTCATGTATTCTCATTGTTCAACTCCCACTTACAAGTGAGAACATGCGGTGTTTGGTTTTCTGTTCTTGTGTTAGTTTGCCGAGAATGATGGTTTCCAGCTTCATCCACATCCCTGAAAAGGACATGAACTCATTGTTTTTTATGGCTGCATAGCATTCCATGGTGTATATGTGCCATATTTTGTTTATCCAGTCTATCATTGATGGGCATTTGGGTTGGTTCCAAGTCTTTGCTATTGTAAATAGTGCTACAATAAACATACATATTTATGTGTCTTTATAGTAGAATGATTTATAATCATTTGGGTATAAATCAACTGCTGAGTCAAATGGTATTTCTGGTTCTAGATCCTTGAGGAATTGCCACACTGTCTTCCACAATGGTTGAACTAATTTACACTCCCACCAACAGTGTAAACGTGTCCCTATTTCTCCACATCTCCTCCAGCATCTGTTGTCTCCTGACTTTTTATTTTATTATTTTTTGAGATGGAGTCTCCCTCTGTTGCCCAGGCTGGAGCGCAATGGCACGATCATGGCTCACTACAACCTCCACCTCCCAGCTTCAGGTGATTCTCCTGCCTCAGCCTACTGAGTAGCTGGGATTGCAGGCACGTGCCACCACACCCAGCTAATTTTTTATATTTTTAGTAGAGACGGGGTCTCACTAACTTGGTCAGGTTGGTCTCGAACTCCTGACCTTGTGATCTGCCTGCCTCTGCCTCCCAGAGTGCTGGAATTACAGGCGTGAGATGGTATCTCATCATGGTTTTGATTTGTATTCCTTATTTGGGCTACATGTGAAGAACATGCAAGATTGTTGCATAGGTACACATGTGGCAGTGTGATTTGCTGCCTTCCTCCCCATCACCTATATCTGGCATTTCTCCCCATGCTGTCTCTCCGTTACTTTGTCATTTGTTACTCTACAATTTCGAAAGAAATACAATTTGTGTACAACTTGTAGGTTTTGAGTCCTGTGGAATAGCACTTTATGCATTTCTATATTCTCATAAGTTATAATTCACTATTCTATTCCCACTTCAGGAAATACTTACATGTCAAGTCAAATACTTACAATACTTATATGTAATATAGCTACTTGTATGTTTACTGTCATTGCTTTTGATCGATACCAAATATTACTATAACCACAACAGTTTGTCAAGAACATGTCACCCATTATTTGCATGGAAAATTCAAGTAGTTCCCTCTTAGAAGAACCAAATTCATGCTTCTAAAAAGATCTGTCTAAGAAGGAATGTTTAATTTTCTTGTCTGTGGGCAATAATATAGTGCAATTGTTAACAGTAGAGACTCTAGAGTCAGAAAGCTATTGAATGAATCCTGGTGTTACCATGGCAAATTAAGTTTTGACCTTACAAAATTTTAATCTCTGCTTACAGAAGCTCAATTTCTGCATCTGGGAAATAGAGATGATAATATCACCAACCTAAGCATTTTAGAAAGGTTAAATTTTGTGGTACATAAAAAGTACTCATATTTTCAATTATTATCTGGCTCATAAAGCAATGAAATTCATACTGAAGTTCATGTGAGGTGGTCTTTTACATATTATGGAATGAAAAATAAAACTGAAGGAAACTTTTGGTAGCTCAACAGTTTGGTAGCTCACGAGTAACTGCTCCTCCATCAGTATCTGTGTTATACATGAGACATAAATAATGATTTTATTATCTGCTTGCCTCCTAAGCCTAGCAAATTGCCAACAATAACATAACTGAAAAGAAAGTTAAGCATATCTACTTTGATAAATTTTATTTATTAGTATAATATTATGTTATTTAAATTATTTACTTGGGTGCCGGGCGTGGTGGCTCAAGCCTGTAATCCCAGCACTTTGGGAGGCTGAGGCGGGTGGATCATGAGGTCAAGAGATCGAGACCATCCTGGTCAACAAGGTGAAACCCCATCTCTACTAAAAATACAAAAAATTAGCTGGGCATGGTGGTGCATGCCTGTAATCCCAGCTGCTCAGGAGGCTGAGACAGGATAATTGCCTTAACCCAGGAGGTGGAGGTTGTGGTGAGCCGAGATCGCTGCACGCCATCCAGCCTAGGTAACAAGAGCGAAACTCCGTATCAAAAAAAAAAAAAAAAAAAAAAATTATTTACTTGGTTAGTTTTTAAGTTAAAGATAGTTTTAAGCTTATGTTTAAAAATTAAGAAAAATATAAATTATCTATAACATTACTGTTACAGGAGACCTTTAGTCAAATAGTTCTTTTATACATTTTCCAAATTTGTTGAGATTTCCTCTCTATCCATTCACAACTATCTTTTTGTTCAGTCCTTGAGAGTATTTATAGTTGCTGTTTTAAATTTCTTGTCTATCAATTCCAACATCTGGATCATTGCAAGGCTTTTTTATATTGAATCTCTGAGACTTTTTCCACAGTTTTATTTCTATGAGGAAATATATGTGCCAGAAAAGAGCATCATGCCAATTTTTAAAACTATGTAATACATCCAAAATCCAGAATTTTCCACTGGTAAAATTGAAATTATTTTCAAAGTGTATGGATTGAAAGAGAAAGATAAGTGAAGTGATGAGAGATGACAGATAAATAAAAACAAAGTTTCAAAATTTTCATTTTTTCGCTGAATATATATATATATATATATATATATATATATATATATATATACATATATATATTTGGTGACAGAGTCTTGCTCCATCGCCAGGTGCCAGGCTGGAGTGCAGTGGTGCGACTTCAGCTCACTGCAAGCTCTGCTTCCCAGGTTCAAGCAATTCTCCTGCCTCACTCAGCCTCCTGAGTACCTGGGACTACAGGCGCACACCACCATGCCCAGTTAATTTTTGTATTTTTAGTAGAGACAGGATTTCGCCATGTTGGCCAGGATGGTTTTAATCTCTTGACCTCGTGATCCACCCGCCTTGGCCTCCCAAAGTGCTGGGATTACAGGCATGAGCCACTGCACTCGGCCTCACTGAATATATTTTAGCATGCTTTCATGTTAATAAATTCACAATGACATCATCACTTCCTGTGGATGCATTTCAGCATGTGGATGTATCTTGTTTGATTTAAGTAATTTTGATTGTTTCTACCTTTTCATTTTTATTACCAACACTGCTGTGAAACTTCTTCACGTTTATTTATTTACTTTGCCTCGTTCTTCCTCAAAATTAAGTTTGTAGGAAGAATTTTGGATCCAAATATATGGCAATTCTTACAAATACTGCTATTTTTTTAATTTGTTTTCAGAAAATCACTTATATTCCTTTCAATAGTGTACAACATTTTAATCTTTGGCAATATCATAATCAGAAGTTAAATGGTTTTTTATTTTCTTTTTTTTTTTTTTTTTTTTTTAGACGGAGTTTCGCTCTTGTTACCCAGACTGGAGTGCAATGGCGCGATCTCGGCTCACCGCAACCTCCGCCTCCTGGGTTCAGGCAATTCTCCTGCCTCAGCCTCCTGAGTAGCTGGGATTATAGGCACGCGCCACCATGCCCAGCTAATTTTTTGTATTTTTAGTAGAGACGGGGTTTCACCATGTTGACCAGGTTGGTCTCGATCACTCGACCTCGTGATCCACCCGCCTCGGCCTCCTAAAGTGCTGGGATTACAGGCTTGAGCCACCGCGCCTGGCCAGTTTTTTATTTTCTTAACTCACATTTCCAAAATTAAAAATAAGATTGGATATTATCATATGCACTAACAATGTATATTTATTCTATGAATTACCTGTTGATGTCTTTTATTTTTTAATTGGAGAATTAATCTTATTTTAATTTATATGAAAGTGTTATTGGTATAATAAAGAGGTCAACCACTTATCTGCCTTATTTATTTAAAATATTTTTTCCATGAAGTCGTTTCTCTTCTTTTTTATTTATGGTTTTGATTTACTAAGTATTTACTTTTGTATGCAGTCAAATCTGTTGATCTTGTCCTGCTTGGTGATTGCTGTCTTAGTTAGAAAACCTTCTTTACCATTAAATTACATAAATATTTTTAAACATTGCTAATATATGAGCGGGCATAGAATGAGAGCGAGCTTTGGAATTATTCAGATATTGGATCAAATTCCAGGCTGCCATTAACTAGCTGTGACATATTGTATTTTCCAGAGATGTTTGCAACAACGGCTCCCATACCACAAGTTCTACACAATTATACTACTCTCTAATCAAAAGATTAGATTAGAATCTGGCCAGGCTTATAACTCATGTAAAACTAATGGCAGAAGTAATGATGCATGACTTCCAAGGTTAGACCATAAAATGAGACACAACTCCTATGTTGTCAGCTATACATTTACCTTTAGAGCCTTAAGCTACCGTGTCCCAGGTCTGGGACCCCCGTGCTATGCAGAGGCCTGGGCTGCATGCAGAATCTCTATGTAGGTATTCTGACAACAGCCCTAGGTGTTATCACAACTTATATCACCATACCACCATCAACTCCAAAGACACGTGAGTGGAGACACCTCCAAATGATCTCAGTTCTAGCTCTTTTATCACTTTCAGTCTTGGAGTAGTCCCAGTTGAGGCCTTAAACATCACAGTTCAGAAACAAACCCACTGTATGCTTTCTTAATTCCTGACTCATGGCGCTAGTGAACACAGCAATTGTTATGCAGTAATAGTAACTAGAAAACTCAATTGTGTGACATTTGACAAGTTAATTAACCATTCTGTTCTTCAATTTTCTCATCTATTAAACTGTCTTGTAATAATAGCTACTTTATAGGAAGTTAAAGTTACATGAGATCATATATTAAAAATGCTTGGCATGTGCCTAGCACGTAACTACAAGGTCAAATAATGATAGCCAGAACAATATTAAAAAGCAAGTTTTTCTTTTTTTATTATATTTACATTTGTAATACGTGTGAAATTTATTTTGGTTTAATGTGTAAGGTTGTGTGAGTTATTTACCAGTCTATTAAAAAATAACAGATTGTCCTTTAAAAAGATTTTTGAAGAAAAATTATCTGTATAAATACGTATATTTGAAAGAAGAGCATGTGCATATCTGAGGATAAATTCTTTTTTTTTTTTTTTTTTTTTTTTTGAGACAGAGTTTCGCTCTTGTTATGCAGGCTGGAGTGCAATGGCGCTATCTCGGCTCACCGCAACCTCTGCCTCCTGGGTTCAGGCAAATCTCCTGCCTCAGCCTCCTGAGTAGCTGGGATTACAGGCACGCACCACCATGTCCAGCTAAATTTTTTGTATTTTTAGTAGAGACGGGGTTTCAGCATGTTGACCAGGATGGTCTCCATCTCTTAACCTTGTGATCCGCCCGCCTCGGCCTCCCAAAGCGCTGGGATTACGGGAGTGAGCCACCACGCCCGGCTTGAGGATAAATTCTTGATGTTTTATCATGTGAGTAAAGAAATTTTCACCAGCTTTTATTCTGTTTGTTTGCTCAAGTTGGAAAATGGAACTGGGAAAAATATCCCAAGATAGGGTAAAGCAAAAGAAAATATTCTCCAAGATTAGAGAAAATTTATCTAGTCTGTAAGGAAGCTAAAAAGAAAAATTATCCTGACTCAGGAAGAGTTAGTTTAGACACTACATGCACTATCACTTGGAAGTGCCAAAATGTAACTTCATTTTTTTAACCTGACCTCTTCTTGTTGTAGAGCTCTGTTAACAGTAAGACAAAACACCTGGTCTTGTCAGCTTAAAACTTAGGGAATAAGGGAATGAAGGGAAGTTAGAGAGAAAATACTAACAAAATATGTTCTCAGCTGAAGACTAGCTTTAGTTGGATCCCATGGAAAAGCTCTGCACCACAGACTTAGTTCTACCTTAATACGAGGAGGCAGTCATTCATTGGCTGAGGGCCATATGCAGGTTGGGAGTGTAGCCTCTGGGTAAGGCTGCTTCTATTAATATTTAGTAGAGAGCAAATCTCCAAAGAAGTAAATAACTGTGAGTTGTTATTTAACAACTCACATCATAAGCCAACACTTGATGCAGCTGGGTGCACTTATCAGCAAAGAAGATTTTCGAAGCCACCAAATTCAAATCCAAATCATCCATGACATAAAGAAAAATTCAAGGCTATAATGCTGAGAATGCCAACGTGTGCTCTTGAAACATAAAGATTTTATAGTTAAAACTTTGTGTGCTCAACAAAACCAAACTTTGGCTTTGTTAAACATTGCTTCAAAAATATTTTTAAAGTCTGTTTTAAAAACCAAAGCTAACAATGTTTGTTTGTTTGTTTGTTTGTTTCCTAGACTGACTTATATCATTCCAATGATTCAATGGGGGAGAGAGCTCTTACACAACCAGAGCCCATAACTCAAACTTAAAATACTCATGTTATGTTGGCTTTTCCAATCTGCTTGTCTACCTTAAAAGAGTTGTTTTCATATATTTGTCATCCTGACTCTACAAAATCCAAATTGAGAATTCCTCAGAAAGATTATATTCCCAGACATAGACAAAGGTAGGATACACCAGACTACTCAAATAGAAGGTTGGTTGGTTCATTGTAAGAATTTTATGTGGCATAATATAAAAGAAAGAAGTTCATGGAAGACCAGGACCAGGAACTGCAGTCAGCTTCATAAGGACAGAAATGCCAGGGTTAGTTTGTATTCAAGGAAAACGTGCCATCTTGGCCACAGGAGTGCTCTAACGTCAATGCTACTCGGTTTCTCTTCCTATCTGTTTCCTTCTGTGTCTGCCTGTTTCCCTTCCCACCACTGTTACCTATGTGCTACCTTTCTCACACTTTCTGTGTGCTTATAACTTTCTCTTACACAGGGTGCTCTGTTACTTCAGCACTGCCTCATGTTATCTATTTACATCCTATGATCTTTAACTACCATGCCACCTGCCACATTATCAGCATTTTTTTCCCTCATTCCCATGAGAAAGGCATGACTAGCCATCCTTAAAAAACACTCCGTTCCAATCCAATCACCTAGTTCAACCATGTGCCCAAGGCTGCCTGGCCAGCCAAGGCAATGATAATTCAAGCCACTTCCACCCACATCAAGTTATCTCTCAAATCTGTTTTTACCAACTGAAATGCTCCCTGAAATTTTCTTTGATGCCTCATCCCTATGTCTGTCCAGTTTTCTTCTGCCCTGAGATTCCCCCAAGAATTCGATCAGAGAAAGACTTGGCCCAGGCTACCAACACACTGTGAAGCTGGGATTAGCCCTCTCCAAAACCCATGGGCAAAAAAGGACAGTGCCAGAAAGTGTCAGGGCTAATCTAAAGAGAATCCCAACCAACAGGAGTGTGTGTAGATGAGGATAAAGGATAGTCACAGAATTCTCAGTGCAAATTGGGGATTATTTTGGCCCAAGTGTTTACATTTTTATACAGGAGATAATAAATGATCAAGTCTGAGTTTATTCACGGCAGTATCACATAAGGAAAGGAAACCCCCTGCCACCTGTGAGAGACAGGGATGTGCAAAGAGTGAGTCTAGTGCTCCATCATCAGGCTCTGCTGCCCACAATGCGTCTCTGTATGCCTGCTTGTCTTTTCACTACCAGCTGGTTTTCTCCCTCTACCATTGCATGGAAGAGGAGAGCAAACAAAATTCAGGTTCAGAGGAAGAGAAAAAGGGGGTAGTGGGTTGAAAAGGAGAGATGTAGAACTAAAGCCCATCGGGGAGGTTGCAAAAGTTGCTATCATTACAACAGATGAGCTCTGTCCTCTTTTCGAACCCCAAGAAGTTGATGTCCTCACAGTTGGTCATACACGACAGTTTTGAATAATGATACATGCTCTGTCCTGAGGAGGTAAAAGAGAGGAAATATGATCATAATGACCTCACTTCCTTTTACTGCATTCCTAGGAGCAATCTGTTTTCATGTCCTCACTAACCTTTCTCTAAGCCCAAATGAGTTCCAAAGCTGAGTCTGTTAATTGCTGACTCAGAGAGTAGATTTTATTCCCCCACCAGTTAAGGGACATCAGCCTCTTTTCCACTCAATATGGTCTTAAGAAAAAGTCTGTCTTTGACATCCCCTCATGACCACTCTATACCCACCCATCCATCCCATTCACCCACTCACTGAGGCAAAAGAACACCACTGTTTCTCAGATATGGTGGTGGTGATTTCCCAGTCACTCCATGCTCCACATTACCTTTGCTTGTAAGTACGTAAAAGTTCTCAACTGCACAAGACTGCTTACGCTTCAGAGAGCAGGACGACATGACATCATAGCATAACCCGAGGTGATATATTTTACATTTATAACACAGTAGTCTAGTGTCTGCTAGATACAAAAAGAGGTGCTTAGAAAATGCAGTCTGGAGAACATTCTCTGGGGGCTCCACTATAGGACCTTACTCTTGCCTAGGGGTTACTAACACATTTTAAACCACAGACTCTTGAAAATCTTGAGAAAGATAGGGATAATCATGCTGTTATTTTCTTCATTTACACATTAATAAATTTGTACACCTTTTCTCCAATTAAAAAATAATCTTGTGAAATATAACCTGTATAAACGTAAAACAAACACTATATATGATTTCAGGAGATCAGGGTTCCCATGAAATTTACCCATGGACCTCCAGTAATGAACCTTTCATCTGGCCTGATGATTTTGCCCAGTGATCAGTTAAAAAAAAGTAAAGTGGATCTTAGCCTCCTTACTCTAAGAAATGGACTAAATAGGTCTGGAAGGAGGTCAAACTTCTGGGATTCTATAATAAGAATGGATTAAAGCCATGATTGTACCTTTTAGAGAGCCACGAAATTCACCTGTGAAAAGAATAAAAATCATCCTTGGTAAAATCTCACATATATCTGCCACAGCCCTAAGACCCAATTTTGAAAACTTCCTCTCCCCCCAGCACCTGTCCATCTCTTAACCAACCACCAGCTTCCCCTCTTATCTCTAGGACTTACATGAATATGGGCATAACAGAAACACTGTGCCCAGCAGAAAGAGAAAAAGCATCCTGGAGTTTCTGTCGGTGTAGCTTCCTGTGGAAGGAGCTAGTTGTTCTTTCATGATCTGTCCTTGGGCTAATCATCCAAATTATATAATCATAAAATTTCAGGGACAGACAGTATGACAATGTTCCCAGAGCCAAGCCACCATATCTGATGGCTGCACAGCATTCTAAAGAGGGTACTGACTTTGATTTTCGCAAATCCTCTAATGAAAATGAAATTGTAATATTTCTGAGTCACCAGACCAGCTTCTACTTCGATATTGCAGATTTTTTTTTTTTTTTTTTTTTTGAATCAGAGTTTCCCTCTTGTTATACAGGCCGGAGTGCAATGACGTGATCTCAGTTCACTGCAACCTCTGCCTCCCGGGTTCAGGCAGTTCTCCTGCCTCAGCCTCCTGAGTAGCTGGGATTACAGGCATGCGCCACCATGCCCAGCTAATTTTTTTTTTTTTTTTTTTTTTTTAGACCGAGTTTCACTCTTGTTACCCAGGCTGGAGTGCAATGGCGCGGTCTCGGCTCACCGCCACATCCGCCTCCTGGGTTCAAGCAATTCTCCTGCCTCAGCCTCCTGAGTAGCTGGGATTACAGGCACGCGCCACCATGCCCAGCTAATTTTTTGTATTTTTAGTAGATACGGGGTTTCACCATGTTGACCAGGATGGTCTCGATCTCTTGAACTCGTGATCCACCCGCCTCGGCCTCCCAAAGTGCTGGGATTACCGGCGTGAGCCATCGCGCCCGGCTATTGCAGAATTTTTAAAAGTAATTTCAGCTTTCATTTTAGATTCAGGGGGTACATGTGTAGAATTGTTACAAGGGTATATGGCTTGATGCTGATGTTTGGGATATGAATGATCCCATCACCCAGGTAGTGAGCATAGCACCCAACAGTTAGTTATTCAGTCCTGCCCATTCCCTCCTCGCAATGTTGCAGGTTTTAATACATCTGGGAGGTATTCTTTACAGCTTCTTCTGTTCCATCCTCAGTGAGCACTCTAACAGCAAGTCTTATCCATTCTACCTACTGGCTTCTCACGTGGGTTTATTACTCTTTGTCTCCACTGCCATTACCAAAATCCAGTCTATCATCATCTCTTGCCTGGATGAAGCAATGGCCTTATTTTTGGCCTCCATGCTTCTCCTCTGCCCCTTCACAATTATGCTTCATAAAGCAGTCAGAAAACACTGTTGTAAGTCATAGATACCACACCCCTGCTGAAAATCCTCTGATGACTTTTCATGACCTTTGAAAGAAAATCCAGAGTTTTTATCATAGCCGGCAACATCTTCCTCATTATGAGCAATGGCTTCCTCTCCAATCTCCTGTCTCTCCACATTTCCTTTGCTCAGATGTCACCCCCTCAGACAGAACAGCATTATCTGCTCAATCTCTAGAAAATGGTAGCCTTCATTTCCTATCATTTTCCCTGTTTTGTGTTTCATAGCAATTCTCAATAGCTGATCTTACATTTCTGTTGGCTCACTTTTTTACTCCTCCGCTAGAACAAAGCAAAGGGTTTGTTTGATTTCTCATGGCATGCTCATCATCTAGAGGCTTGGAACAAAGGAAATGCCCAACAAGTGTTTGTTGGAGGAATTAATAATGTTCTTCCCATATCCTGCCTTGCATTCCATTCTCCAGTCCATTCTCCACAGAGCAACCAGCTTTATCAGATTGGTTTTTTGAACTATAATAAAGATGAGAAATGAGATTTTCTACATTTCAGCAAGGATAGTAGGTAGCAAGTGTTTCACATTTCAAAATGAAATGCTATGCTGCTTAGGCGGATTTACAAAGAAAATAAATAAAACCATGTTTAATATCCTGGACTTGTAGCCCACCTGGCGGGTATAAATGAACAGTGAAATGCCAGAAAATAAAATGGAAGCAGTTTCTGTAGTCTGGAACCAGGGGTACTTTTCTATATATGGCTCAAAACATAGAACCATAAAAAAGATATTTTTACTTATATTGTTTTAAAAAATCTTCTACATATGTAGAAAACCAATCATTAATCCATAAGCCCAAATAACAAACAATTAAAAATATTTGCAATTCATATCTCAGACTAAGGGCTAATCTCCCTATTGTACAAAGACATTTCAGAAAGTGCTTTTTCATAAAGAAGATATGTTTACTTATATTGTTTAAAAAATCTTCTACATAGGTAGAAAACCAATCATTAATCCGTAAGCCCAAATAACAAATATTAGCAATTCATATCTCAGACTAAGGGCTAATCTCCCTATTATACAAAGGGATTTCAGAAATTGATTTTTAAAAGGCTAACAATTCAAAGGGGAAAGAGGCAGTCAGGAATAATGTATAGTTCACAGAAAAAAGAAACAAAATCCTTCTTAAACATGTGAAATATGCTGAACCTTACTCCTAATTTTAGTCATGTACATTAAAACTAAATTCAGATAATAATTTTACTTAACTGATTGGCAATCATCAGAATTTGACAACACAATTGTGTTGGCTAGATGGGAGTAAAACTAGCACTGTCATACATTGTTGATAGGGCTGTAACTTAATATATCAGTAAGAAATAAAATTAGACAATAGTTCTCAAAATTATTAAGAAATTATCATCTTAGCCCAGTAATTGCATAAGATTTTTCTTGTACATTTGGCCTTGCTTCCAGGATTCTTCAGGGAAAAATATAGACAGATGAATAGATGACAAATACTTTGTGAGTTCCTGTTGATATTTTCAACTGAAATTCAAGACTGAGAAGTTTTTACTTAACTTTATGTTACAACTGTATCTCTTTTGTTTTACACTGATAGGTCTACTTCTCAGGGACACAGAATTAGAATAGAATAAAATCAGAAATGATAAATATAGCATATAACATGTAGAACAGAATATTACATATATATGAATTATAATATGGCATATACAGGACAGAATAAAATTAAAATTCAATAGAATTAGAACGTTTTATAATCAATCATTTGCTTTATCCCAGATTAAACACCTAACGGCCTCAGCATGACAATACTATCACTAATGGTGCTTACTAAAATAGTTGTAAAATTTTGTCTGTGCTCTTTATTTTCTCAACTACTACCACCTGCATTTTTTATAGTCTACCGTATCTAATTATCCAATCATATGGCCACTACATACTACACTGCCTACCTTTTAATCTTTACTTATTTTTTGTTATACTAGTAAGTTTATATTTAAACTTGACCATCAGCCCATAAATTGAAGTCTACTAGTCATTTTTTCTATCTGAAGCACTCTTTTTCAATGCATTGTTCAGGAAGGAATTATACAAATAATAATTCTGAAATTCTGGAATGTCAAAAAAGTTTTATGCTCTTTACACTTGAAATACAGTTCTGCTAAATACAAATTCCTTTGTTCACATTTTCTTTCTTTATATAATGCAAATATATTACTCCTTTTACAAGCATGTCATGATTAACCAGTTTTCTGTCCCTTATAAGTTGTATGCTCTTTTGACTTAAAAGCTCAAAGGATTTTTTTAAAGTTCAGTAATTTTATAAGGCCATGTCTTTGTTTTGATCATTCTAAGTCAATATCCTCAGGTACACAGTGTGCTGTTTCAATGGGAAATTTCAATTCTTTTAAAATCATTTTGGAAAAGTTTTATTATGGTTATTAAATTTTAGTATGTGTCTGTTCTTTTTCCTTTTTTCAAGAGCTTCTATTATTTGTATAGTGAAAGTTTTTAATTTTAAAAATTCACTTTTTTATGGCTTTAAATTTATTCATTTATTGTAGATTTTAAATTTTTTCTTTCTCACTTTCTATTTCTCTTAATTTAATTTTTCTTTATTCATTCTTATTCTTCTTATTTTTTATATGAGAAGGGCAGTGCACCATGGGCCTAGAGCATCACTGCATATTCTTGCTGGGGATGTGAGGCTTTGGCTGCTCTTCACCCAGGCCATATCTCAGAGTTATGGTTGCAGTGAGGAACCCTGAAGAATGCAGTAACAAAGAGTAGGTTTGGGTCCATTTAGTATTCAAGTGGTAGATTCCTCTAGCATAGTGTTCCTAAGCGTCAGCACAAACCCGCAGTTTGATAGCATCATCCTGGGCCTCATATATCTCCCACCATGAACGCAGGGAACCGGAGGAGTACTGCAAGCCAGTGTGAAGCCCTGGCTTCTGCTTTTGCTGTGAGTGCTAAAGTCCTTTGGTTTTGGTTGTTGTTATTTAGTTGGTTTTGTTTTGTTTGACTTGTTTGTTTGTTTTTACTTACATTTACAGGTTTATTATAAAGAAACAGATGAACTGCATATATATGTTGAGGTACATATGTTGAGGTCCAGAAGGGTCTTAAGCACAGAATCTTGTGACCTATGAAGCTGGTGCACATCACTCTTCCAGTATGTTGACGCATTTGCCAACCTGAAAGATCTCTGAGCCCCAGAGTTTACAAATGTTTATGGATGCTTCATGATATAGGGACAATCAATTTTTAACTCAATCTCCAGTACCCTTCCCATCTCTGGAGGAAGTTGCAAGCTTCTAATCACGACCTTGTCTTTCTGGTGACCAGCCTCCATCCAGGCGTCTATCAAGAGTCACCTCACTAGAATAAAAGACTTGCCTATCACCCAGAAAATCCCAAGCTCTGTGTCAGGAACCAAAGCAGACACCAAACATTTCTTCTTATATCACAAGACCTAACATATAATTGTCATTAGTAACTTGTTAGTCAAAAGCTTTAATTTGAATATTTTCTTGCTTAGCCCAATATACTTCTTGAGAATATCTAAATTCTGTAAGTGATATTCTCACAGGTTAAACCAAGATTTATAGAAATAATCACAACTTTCCAAACAATATTTCTAATATAAGGCATATATTTGCCACCAAGCAATTATTAGTAATTAAAGTTCAATTATGGGGTACTCATTGGAAGTTACATATAGAACTATTAAATTGTTAAGAAACAGGGTACAGCTTATTTCAAACCTTGGGTACAAGTCCATCCAATTAGGTGTCATCTCCAACACTGGGGATTACATTTCAAACTCAGATTTTGGTGAGGA